CTTTTGCAATGAGGTGAAGTTTAAATTCACTTGGTATTGTTTACTTGGATCTTTCCAATGATATTTAGGACTGAGATTGTTAAGTTTCTTATTAGCATATGTGCATACTGTGAGTATTGCCTCTATAGCTAAGTGGATAACGCGATGGCATTTGAAGCGAACGTTACTGGGTTCGAGTCCCAGAGTGAACATCAACTCTGAGTTGCAGATATATTCACCTGACGAGTCTCAAATAGGACGAAACGCGCATCCTGGATTTCACTGCTAACCACTATTCATCTTTGCTTTGAATTAGATCATCTTTAATTATCAATGTTTTTATGACCGTTTTATTTCTCCACATAACATAATCACTTAGTAAGATATGTGTATCTATTTTAAAAGTTATGCCTATTATGTCATATATCATAAATTATATAATGACTTAAACAAATTTTTATTAACGCTTAAATGATTATGTGATTATATGAGTAGTATATAACGTCTAATTACTATTATTATTACTATTCTTTTTATTATTATCATTATTATTATCATTATTATATTCAGAATGGATAAGTGATTTAATCAATTAACTTATATTTATTGCTATGACAATACAGATCTTTAAATTCTGTCATAAAATAACATCATGACTGAATTATATCTGATTTAGACAAAATATGAAAGTTTTATGGTTTATCAACATGTGTGTGTGGTTAGAAAAGTTGTTTCATTTCATAATTTATATAACAACACAATATTATAAATTAAGTTGATTGAAGTGAGAAATATAAGGAATAGGAGACTGGTTTAGTGATATACATTTAAAGTACTTCTACTTGGAACTTGTTAACTTTGAGTTCGATCCCAGATAAAGTAGTGTATTTGAACTATTGGAAATAGTATTTGAATATGATAAAATAGCTATACGGTGTTTACTGGTATCCACTAGTTTGTTAAGCTGGAATCAGTTTGTCATGTGAATCAGAAAATGTGAGAATTATTGTTGTAGGCATGTTATTTCGTTGAATTTTATACTACGAATTAATTAAACTTTACAGAACAGTGAATATATCTTCTGGTCATTTAAATCAGTATTGCAGAAAAAAAGATTATTGAAGAGTATTGCATATGAAGACCGGTTTTAGCTAGGTAGTTAACCTTAAATGAAAACTATTGACAACATAGTGTACGTAAGGTCGAGTCACCTAGACTAGTTGATAGGATTCGATCTGCACTATGAAGGACCTCACATACAAAACATTGATCACCACTCAGTGATTAGTTTATTGTAAACGTTAGATAGATAGATAGATAGATAGATAGATAGATAGATAGATAGATAGATAGATAGATAGATAGATAGATAGATAGATAGATAGATAGATAGATAGATAGATAGATAGATAGATAGATAGATAGATAGATAGATAGATAGATAGATAGATAGATAGATAGATAGATAGATAGATAGATAGATAGATAGATAGATAGATAGATAGATAGATAGATAGATAGATAGATAGATAGATAGATAGATAGATAGATAGATAGATAGATAGATAGATAGATAGATAGATAGATAGATAGATAGATAGATAGATAGATAGATAGATAGATAGATAGATAGATAGATAGATAGATAGATAGATAGATAGATAGATAGATAGATAGATAGATAGATAGATAGATAGATAGATAGATAGATAGATAGATAGATAGATAGATAGATAGATAGATAGATAGATAGATAGATAGATAGATAGATAGATAGATAGATAGATAGATAGATAGATAGATAGATAGATAGATAGATAGATAGATAGATAGATAGATAGATAGATAGATAGATAGATAGATAGATAGATAGATAGATAGATAGATAGATAGATAGATAGATAGATAGATAGATAGATAGATAGATAGATAGATAGATAGATAGATAGATAGATAGATAGATAGATAGATAGATAGATAGATAGATAGATAGATAGATAGATAGATAGATAGATAGATAGATAGATAGATAGATAGATAGATAGATAGATAGATAGATAGATAGATAGATAGATAGATAGATAGATAGATAGATAGATAGATAGATAGATAGATAGATAGATAGATAGATAGATAGATAGATAGATAGATAGATAGATAGATAGATAGATAGATAGATAGATAGATAGATAGATAGATAGATAGATAGATAGATAGATAGATAGATAGATAGATAGATAGATAGATAGATAGATAGATAGATAGATAGATAGATAGATAGATAGATAGATAGATAGATAGATAGATAGATAGATAGATAGATAGATAGATAGATAGATAGATAGATAGATAGATAGATAGATAGATAGATAGATAGATAGATAGATAGATAGATAGATAGATAGATAGATAGATAGATAGATAGATAGATAGATAGATAGATAGATAGATGGATAGATAGATAGATTGATTGATTGATTGATCGATTGATCGATTGATGAAATATTTGCCTGATTACTTCTCGCTTGCACTAATCTCTTAGTTGATATCCATCTGAGATAAAAACGGAATTTCAGTCGAAATCAATCCCAACAAAAATTTATTCTTATTTAATGAATATCCTGTCTATTACTTTTCATTTATCCTGTCAGTAATTAAAGTGTGTTTATGAAAAAGAAAATATCATTATTGTTATTATCATTGTACATGTGCCTTAGATTATTATATTTTTATAGGAATTATGTAAATTACTGTTTACAGTTTGATTAGTTGGGTCATTATTTCCACCCCCATCCCATCCCATCCCCCCAAAAAAACCAAGGAATTCTGCACGTTCTTCTAAATAATCTGAATTCATGAAAATGATTATACATGTGTCATACACCTATAGTGACCTAGTTTTTTCCCCCCAATTTGTTCATTTGTTTTTATATTAGTGTTTAAAATTAATAACTGCTTACATATGTTGTATATTGAAAAGCTATCTTCCACTGTTAAGCTTAATCTGTTACTCATCCCAATGTTTTTTTTAATTATATAAATCTTGCTTGTTCTAAGTTTGTGATATTACGTTGTTGAAGGTAACAGGTAAGATAAAATTGACATAGGTTATATATAAGTTGGCAGTCATCATTGTGGTGTAGTTGAAATATTGAGATAACTGAAGCTTTCCTTTTGGATTCGATGAGATTCAATCAACATTAAAGGATTAGAAAAATAAAAGATGATGAACCCTACTTAGAGATCAACCGATTCTAAGCTTGAGTTAATGGAAATGAGATAATAATATATGGTATGAGATTCGTATATCAGGTTTTAAGACTACTACTATACTATACAGCAAAACTTGACTGAAGTAAATAGTTTGGATAATTATCTATCTTCCAATCATTTGTTTAAAACTACTATGGACGTCAAGAGACTTGAATTTTATGAATTCCACTGCACTTGCGATCTTTATTAAGTACTATTGAAGATCCCTTAAACTAGGTCAAAGTGGTGTCTAATAATCGTAAGCTTTCAGTAGACTGGTATGAGTTCGTTATTAAACGAAATCAACTTCGATTATTCCGAAATTCTCATAAACCTAATTATTATCATTACGTTTCATTAAAATCATGAACCAATATAAGTTAGACCACTACTGAAAACTAGGTTTCAGGCCTCGCGTCAGGGATCATGGATGATCATTGCTGAAAAGCTCCGTATTAGTACGAAATGGCCATCGAGTGCTTCACGTTTTCGATGGTAGTTTAACATTGATCAGTTCATGATTTCAATGAAATTTAACAATCCTTACAACCCTAAACTGATAATTTTAGTAAGACAACCATTGCAAATCAAGGACAAGTGAACAGATATGTATAGTTATATCCATGAAAACACCACTTCATTATACCATGGATGTGTCAAGTAAAGCATGATCAACCGTGATGGAACAAAAATTACAAGATACCAAATATCATAATTCTAATTAATTCTATAGTGGAAATTATTCCGAAATATTTACAATTGAGTGATTAAATTGATGAAAACATGACCTTAATTGCTGATTACAATGCACTTAGATTAATTGGAAATGTGAAATTTATTCCCATCCATAAATTTCTTTTTAATGACGTTTTTATCAAAATAACAAGTTAAAATTACTAACTACTATTAATATTACTGTGGTGTACGCTACTTATATCAACAGACATAAGTAGTATGTGATACCAATCAGAATTGGAGCGCTTGGTAGCAAAAGGTTGTAAACATAGAATCGAAGAAAACGGGACTGTAAACAGAGTGTAATTATAAAAACAATGGAGTTTGAGACAATTGATGAAGGATTTACGAATGAAGTATTTAATGTATGGTTTTCACATATTACCAGAGAACTATGTACTTTTGCATGAAATAATTAATTGGTTGTTTCCACATCAGTTCTCGCTCAAAATACTACTACTGCTACTGGGGTGCATGTTAATTATATCAACAGACATAAGTTGTATTTATCATCAATCGGAAGTGTAATATTTGGTAGCATAAGATTACAATGAAGAGAACAGGTAGAAAATCTGAGAGCAATCGAAATTACAACACAATCAAAGGAATAATGAAGCGCGTAAATGACAACGCAACGAAGATGTACAAATGATGTATTACCTGTATGATTTTCATATTTTACTAAACCACTGTGTGGTTTTGCATTAGTCAATAAATTGGTTTCCTCCACCTGAGTTTCCAATCAATACAGCAGTGGTAATAATATTATTATTAGTAGTAATGATAGTAGCAGTTTAGTGAACGAGAACTCGGTTAAGGAAGACCAATTCATATTGGCGCAAAATTACAGTGTCGTAGGAAATTATGACAATCATACATAAAATATTTCACTTGTACATCTTCCATCAGTTATCCTTTACATCCTTTATGATTCTTTCAATTCTGCATTTGTTTCAATTCCTTTCTGCTTCTCCTTCAGTTCAATTTCTCAATCTACTTTTGACAGGCATTCCACTTCTGAATAGTGTTATTTACTATTTAGATCTATCAATATGAGTAGTATACACCACAGTAGTAGTAGTAGTAGTAGTAGTAGTAGTAGTAGTAGTAGTAGTAGTAGTAGTAGTAGTAGTAGTAGTAGTAGTAGTAGTAGTAGTAGTAGTAGTAGTAGTAGTAGTAGTAGTAGTAGTAGTAGTAGTAGTAGTAGTAGTAGTAGTAGTAGTAGTAGTAGTAGTAGTAGTAGTAGTAGTAGTAGTAGTAGTAGTAGTAGTAGTAGTAGTAGTAGTAGTAGTAGTAGTAGTAGTAGTAGTAGTAGTAGTAGTAGTAGTAGTAGTAGTAGTAGTAGTAGTAGTAGTAGTAGTAGTAGTAGTAGTAGTAGTAGTAGTAGTAGTAGTAGTAGTAGTAGTAGTAGTAGTAGTAGTAGTAGTAGTAGTAGTAGTAGTAGTAGTAGTAGTAGTAGTAGTAGTAGTAGTAGTAGTAGTAGTAGTAGTAGTAGTAGTAGTAGTAGTAGTAGTAGTAGTAGTAGTAGTAGTAGTAGTAGTAGTAGTAGTAGTAGTAGTAGTAGTAGTAGTAGTAGTAGTAGTAGTAGTAGTAGTAGTAGTAGTAGTAGTAGTAGTAGTAGTAGTAGTAGTAGTAGTAGTAGTAGTAGTAGTAGTAGTAGTAGTAGTAGTAGTAGTAGTAGTAGTAGTAGTAGTAGTAGTAGTAGTAGTAGTAGTAGTAGTAGTAGTAGTAGTAGTAGTAGTAGTAGTAGTAGTAGTAGTAGTAGTAGTAGTAGTAGTAGTAGTAGTAGTAGTTGTAGTAGTAGTAGTAGTAGTAGTAGTAGTAGTAATAGTATACGGATATACACAGTGTTTACTTTAACTACCCAGATTATCTTTTAGATGCAACTGACTTCTCATTAAACTTTAAATTGGTTTTGCTTATCAACTCTTCCTTCACAATACTACTACTAATCACCATATTGTAATACGAAAATGAGATTTAAAATAAATCAGAATATTCCCAAAAGACTACTGATTCATAGCGCCATTTGCAAGCATCAAATATCCATTCATCAATCTATATTTACATCATTTCAAACATCTGGGATTATAGCAGAAAAAGAAAACTCAAATGACCAGATGCCTTTTCCATTAGTCAATATATTGAATAATTGATTCATTAAAATTAATTTTATTTCGCCTAGGGGAGTCATGAATTGATTATTTTATTGTTTGTTATGGATTTATTTCATTAGTTGAGATCATGAGTTAACTGAAGCTAGACCACCATGGAAAACTTGGGAGCACTGGGCGGAATCCTTTCAATGTTCAATAAATGTGTTGTATACAATACTCCCAAATATTGTTTCGTTAATTTAATAAATAAGTACTAAATACTAAGATATAGTTTTTATCTGATATTTCACTCCAACCTGAACTACAGTATATTCAATACTAATCGTCATGGATCAATTCGGACATGTAGAATGTATGCAGCATTGATTCAATAAACAACAACACATAATTGGATAATCTCAACCATAATGATTTTCATAATAACCCTGAAAGAATAATTCAACTGTGTTGTACTTAATTTATATCATTTCATTTTATTGATGATAACATATCATTTCGTTACAGTGTGCTCTTATCTTTTCAAATAATCTCGCGAGGTGGTATCGTGGATGCGCACTACTGAGGAGTCCCCCAATTGGACGAAACAGCCATCCAGTGCTTCCAGGTTTTCCATGGTGATCTAGTTTTAATTGACTCATGATCTCAACTATTGAAACTACTACAATCTCTACAGAAGACCCTTCTGATAGATTTATTTATCAAGATCATTTTTATTGAAGTAATTCTCAGTTATGATGAGTGAAGATAAAACCAGTTGCAAGAAATTAGACAACATTGGTTTCTAAGTATCTGTAAGGGAAATTACATTGAATTGTATACAAAGGCTAAGATAATGTAAGACTTTTAAATTAGGTATTTTGAGAAGAGTTGAAAGCTTACACATGTAATCGTCATATTATACCACTTTATCGAATCTATTCAAGCTAATTAGTATTCATAAAAATTTACAATGTTAGTATTAGTGTCGAATCTTTATAAGACAGTTTAATTTAGACAGATGCTTTACCACTCTAAATGTAGCCACAAATTGAGTTGATTTAAGATTATGACAATAAGATTATCAAGAAAATTATTGGTTAATCTGTTTATTTCTAATTCATCATTATTAAACTGAGTTTATTCCATTTCCGTTAGGGTTTTACATCACAGATTGTCTTTGGTTAAACAACCATTATAAACCAGAAAGCGTTCGATCAGTGTTCTATCCTAGTATGAAACTTGTCAGCATTAGGGCTCTACAAGTCAGTAAAAGATCGGATCTATAACCTTTAGAGCTTCCACTAAGCACTTAATTTTAGCCTCAGCGTCTTGAGTTTGGTCCCTAATTGGATCATGGATGCGCAAATATGAACAAACCCATTCTAGTATTGAATGATTACCTAGTGCTTCCTATTTTCTAATGATTATTTAATCATTGTTGTTTGCTGATATGAAATTTCAAACTGAATAATATCCACAATACTTTAGTATAAAAACTGTCCACTTCAGTTGATGTTTCATACAACAGACACTGAACTTGAATCATGTTAGTAACATCAATATATGAATGTAGATCCTTTCAATTAATTAATTCTAATTAAAACATAAAGAGAATACGCTTTAAATCCCCATCCTACTAGTCAATATCAAGTATTATATGTTGATAGTCGTAAATAATATTGATGTAATAAAAAACGTGACCTTTAGTAAATTTGTACGAAACAAATTAGCAATCAGTTCTAATTTGAAGAGAAAATTAGGAAAAGACGATGGAAGTGGATAGGATATAAATGACAGAAACCATCAAACTGCATCACGAGACAAGCACTAACTTGGAATCCTGGAGGGAAACGGACATGAGGAAAGCTAAAAACACACTTTGTCGGGAATTGGAAGCAGACATGAAAATGATGAATAGTAAGTGGAAACAATTAGAAAGGATTGTCCACGACAGAGTTGAATGGGGAATGCTGGCGAGTGGTCTATGCTCCTCCACGAGGCGTAATAGGTGTAAGTAAGTAAGTAAGTAAGTAATTTAGTGATAGTTATTTGATTTTATTTATCTGAACCATGAATTGTATTCTCTAACAGTTGCCTTATCCGATAGATAACAAGTAAAAACTGTTTCTTTCAGCTACCTCACTACGTATCTATTCCATTTTTTTACTCCTGTCAAACAGGCTGTATTGACTGCCTAAGAGAGACTTTTTTCAAACATATCCGAGTACTAAGCGGCATGCTTGTTCAATAGTGAATGAAAATCAAGTAAGTTTTATTGTTGAATACCTGATCACTTTCGGTAATCTATCTCAACCAGAATGTTTATTTACAAAATCAAATGAGTCGTCTCTAAAGGTGAGGAATTTGTACATAGAGGTAGAGTACGGTAATTTATCAGATAAAGCCTAATCCTTGAATCGTAACTTAATAATTATTGTGTGACAGTCTATCCACATGTTTTGTTCAATGTTGGCTAAAGATGTTCTATCGAGAATTCTCTTGAAATATCATTGAACATTAAGGTTCCGACATTATTTCCAAATCGCATTTATAATTTTCAACTGAAAATCGGTTAGCATGATAATTTCATAATTTACATAACAGACTGATTTCAGTCAGATAGAGAACAAAAAACAAGGGAACACTAGGAGTAATTTTACACTCTAGAATGAGACTCCTCAGTAGCGTGTATTCACAGACCCACTGAGGTTTAATCTAAAGTTCTTCTAGTGAACGTTTAACTCATATATCACTAGGTTTCAAACCAATGATTCACACTGTCCAGCTGTAATCACTTGATGAAGTTGTATGGCTATCTTCGAATATCACATTTAAAATGGTTGAACTCAATTGATCACGAAATCTCACTACGACTAGAGCATTACCTCTTGAAGTTAATCAACGTTTACCTAACTAAATTTGATTTGTAAATGGAAACTAGGAAATTTAGCGATTTTTACAAATTCCTATTGTAATACCGTCTATGTATTTAGATAAATGTGTTAGATATTGTAAAAGCCTATATATATACAAGTGATAGGATCTTGTCTAATGAAACTAACTCTTTTGTGTTGAAATTTAATTGCTTTCATGATTCCTGACAAGTTCACTGTCCAGTCAGTTTTGCACTATGATTAAGCAACCGGTATGTATACCACTGATTGTCATTATTTTAAATTAAACATCAATTCATTATTTAAACTTAACAGTTAAATAGTTCAGTTTAAGGGAGTGTGTTGATATTACTTTAATTCATTTTTGTTCTTCGTTACTAACTGACATCATCTTGATTATCAATGAAAACTAGAAAATAATGAATAGTTGTTTCATCCTACTACCATCGATGAGGTTTGATTCAGATGAATACACTTTCTTTAAATGTTAATGAGGAGATTGAGAAGCTATAATTAGGAAAGCCAAATAATAGATAAACAAAACATTGATACATATATCATTCTTACCCAGGGAGAAATATGTAGGCTGAGACACTGATTAGTTAATATAATCGAATACCTTCAGTAGTATGTTTAATTTGTAATTTATCAATTACTGATCTCCCTCGGGATCACAATTAAACACAGGCACATGCTATATCGAGACTCGCCAAACTCAATAAAAACTTAAGAGTAAGAAATTTATGACTGATGATACTAGATTATTATTCTGTATATTACTAACTGTTTATGGTTGGAATTGTTGACCACAAAGATTCTGACTGAGTAGTCTAAATGATAAAGAATTATCTACAATATATCAGGGTCTAGATAAAAGTTCTTTTCTGAGAACTCTTATACTAGATTAAAACAGATGACAAATACTTCGAATTATTTAATAATTGAATTAGTGAGTCCATTAAAGCTAGACCACCATGAAAAACTTGGAAGCACTGGATGACCGTTTCATCCTATTGTGGAACTCCTGAGCATTGCGCATCCACGACTCCCCCTCGCGTGACTCGAACCCTGAACCTATAAGCCTCGCGTGCGAATGCTTGACTACTGGACCACTGAGCCGGTATCCAACGGTGTTAATGTCTAATTTCAACTAATCCACGAAATTGAGCTACCGTCCACTATTGTCTTAAGTGAGTTACTAACTCACAACAGACCCGGTTGAACTGCATTGGTCACGGCTTCTCACTAGAACTTCATGAAATAAGTCTTAGAGACAGTCACTAGTGAACATATAATTATTTTAATCACACACACAGAGAGAGAGAGAAAGATTGTAGTAATTTGAAAATTGAATTCACGAATCAACTGAAACTAGATCACTATGGAATATCTGGAAGCACTGGATGGTTGTTTCATTTAAATCAGTGATCAATATCATTGATAAATTAGGAAATACTGTACAAAAATAACACCAAATATAATAAAGTCCCGAATATACATACATGAACTCATTAACCGGTTATTATATGATTCAGTTATAAAGGAAATTTATGTAGATTTCATCAACATATTTAATCTCATCAAAACATTGTCATAAATATCTTATTCCATTTCAAAATACTGAATAAACAAATGTAGATAGAAGTGTTTTGACTCAATTAATCTGACTGATGCATATTAATGAGACAGTTTCTTTTTCTTTTTCAATATTAAAATAGACAGTATTTGTATGTTAGATGATGTTCTCTTGCTTTCACTTTCTCACTCTCTCGCTCTCTCTCGTTCGGTCTCTGTTTGTAATATATAAGTTATTTGAATTTGTCAACCAATCTAATCATTTTCAGACGATAATAACATTGTCCCCATTTATTTTTTCGTATAGCCAAAGGCAACAACCACAGCTGTTAACATTAAAGTTTAACATTTATGCAACAATTTCAATAGTTGAAATCATAAGTCATTTGAAATT